AGTTTTCTTTTCAGCAGGGCCATGGTGCCCCTGTCTAGGGTGGTGGATTGCACACTGACAAAAACCTCATTGGAGTGGTCCAAAAGCAAACTGCAATTATATCTGCCTAAATGAGTCTTTCAGCAAACAGGCCATTCATGCCTTCTGTATAATTAGGCCGGGTTTGGGTTTCTTGCAACCTTGAGAGTTTTCTTACTTCTGGTTATCATATGATCCGAATTGTGGGGCATTGCCTTTCACTGTCCACTGACACAATGGCCCTATTATTTAGACTCCTTTTATGACTTTGCACAGAAATTCAAACCTTTTGATGGTTCTCTTGCTGCCCTGAACAAATATGTTTACACTAGCTGAGAACACACTTAAGATTTGCTGCAATTCCAACTCTGTATGTTACATAGCAGGGTTTTACAAACATGGAGCAGTAGACTGTCAATTCACAGACTCATGGGCTGCAAACTAGTTCTAGGGCAAGAAATCTGAACCTGTTGTTGACAGCTTATATTCTACTCAACTGACACAGGTATTTTGCTATGTGACAAGTTCTCTTAGATTACTCTTAAAGGAGAACTATGGGGTTAGGGCTTTCCCCCATAGTTCTCCTTAGGGTAACAGGAGGATACAAACTAGCGTCCTCCCCTCACCCTAAGCTCAGTATACCGCGAGCTACAGCTCGTGGTATACTGAGACGCCGCAATATACCGCGAGCTACAGCTCGCAGTATACTGAGACGCTGAAGCTGATCCCGACAATTATGTCTGGATCCAGCCAGCTGTGTGAGTGACTGAGGCACTATCTAGAGGCAGAGCCAGCTGTACCCGCCCCCTACCCTGTCCATTCCGCCAGTCAACGGTGGAGGATCGGGGAGGGGGAATCCAACCACTCCCCTGTTACGGCAGAGAGCTGTGACAGGATCGAGAAGTGAGCGAACGCCGGTATGTGTTCGCTTACTTCCCGATCTACTGAGCCGACCTGTGACAGTCTCATTGTCACAGGTCGGCTAGAACTCAGGTGAGTGAAAAGCACTCACCTCATAGTTCTCCTTTAAGCTAAACAACTAAGATTTAGCTATTTTAAAAGCAATTATCTGTTATACTAATAAATGGTAAACTAAGGCTTTACAAAATGTACATTTCATTGAGTAAACATGACACTGGGCACCTTCTCACTGGGCATTGGGCACTTCTCTCCTGAATATAGCATACATACCTCAGGGGCAGGGCCCTCCTTACCATCTTGTCTTGAATTGTATTGTGATTGTAATGTCTTCCTTATATTGTAAAGCGCTGCGCAAACTGTTGGCGCTATATAAATCCTGTATAATAATATAATAATACATAAATGCAATGCTGCCTGCATCGAACTAGAAGGTAGCTGAAATGGTCAATAACACAAAGGCTGGTTAACATGCAGTGTATGCTGTACTTATGCTTCCACTCTGTTCTCATGCCGGTAAAAGTGTATGTGGCCCATCATATGATTTTTTGGTGGATCACTTTGAGCTAGCATGAGATCAATCCCATATAATACTATATAAGATCATCAGTAAATGTAAATTTCCACCTTTTTAAAACAGGAAATAAAGAAATAACACTTACAGTCCATTTCTAATTTTTTCATCATTAATACGCATGGCAAAAGATGGCTGGATAAATGGATGAATAGATAGATGAGTAGACGAATAGTTGGATAAATAGATGAATAATTAAGGTACCTCATTAAATTAGGCAATTTTCACCATGTCCTATAAACTTTGACAGGATGAGGCATCGAGTGGTCTCTTGGCCCAGCCTATGACACTAGCAGCAATATGTCACATGAGTTGGAGCAGGCAGTCATACAGGTTGTGGATGCCATGGCACCAAACCGTTTGACTACCTAAATTATTTAATGTAGAAATATGAGGGGCCATGCATTGTAGTAAGGGCCATATGTTTTCTAGTACAGAGGGGGAGTGCCGCAGCCTCTTCTCCCCTTTGCTCTGGCAGTCTAAGGACCGCTGACATCGTCATGTCTTAAGCAGGTCCTTTGAGCTGCATTAGACATGAGGACGCCAAAGGACATTCTATAGCCAGAGTGTAGGGGGAGAGGGCTGAGCACTGATTACCATGGGAGTCGGGATCAGGTAAGTAAAACAGCTTTATTAGACAAAACAAGCACTTACGCTTGTTACAGTGCTCCCCCACCACCTATCCCCAC